CATATATTTTGATATGTTATGTTTCCATTATTGTTTGTCTCAAGATGTATTTTGATTCTCCTTTTGTTTTCTTTTTTGACTCATTGGTTGTTCAGGAATATGTCTGATTTCTATATATTTGTGGATTTTCAAGATTTCTTATGTTATTGATTCTAGTTTTATACCACTATGGTCAGAAAACAAAGTTGTTAAGTCCTCCTAAATTTGTTCAGACTTGTTTTGTGGCCTCATATATGATCTGTCCTGGAGAATGTTGTATGTACTTGAGAAGAATGTTTGTTCTGTTGCTTTTTGATGGAATATTTTATGTATTTCTATTATGCCCATTTGTTCTAAAGCATAGTTCAAATTCAATATTTCCTAATTAATTTTCTATCTGGATGATCTGTCCATTATTGAAAGTGGGGTAATGTAGTCCCGTACTATTGTCATTTTGCACTCTAGCTCTCCCTTTAGATCCTTTAATATTTCCTTTGTATATTTAGGTGTTCCAATGTTGGAGGCATCTACATTTGCAATTGTTATATCCTCTTGATGAATTGACCCTTAATCATGATAATGCTCTTTTTGTCTCTTTTTACAATTTTTGACTTAATATCTGTTTTTGTGTGAAATGAGTATAGCTACCCCTCCCCTCTTGGTGTCCATTTATATGGAATAACCTTTTCCATCTTGTCACTTTCAGACTGTTTGTCTTTAATGGTGTGGTGAGTCTCTTATAGGCAGTATATAGTTGGGGCTTGTTTTCTTATCCATTCAGCCACTTTATTCTTTTTTATTGGAGAATTTAATATATTTACACTCAAAGTAATTATTGGTAGGTTAGGACTTACTATTACCATTTTGTAATTTGTTTTATCGCTCTTTTGCATATAAATACTTTGTTTCTTTTTTCTTTGTTGCTGTCTTCCTTTGGGGTTTGGTGGTTTTCCGTACTGGTGTGCTTTAAATCCTTTCTATTTAAGTTTTGTAGATCTACTATAGATTTTAACCTTATGGTTATCATAAGACTTAATTAAGACATCTTATAATATGATATTTCAAGCTGATAACTTTGAATGCATAAACTTATTTACTCTCACCCCTATTTTACATTTTTTATGTCAAAATTTTTATTTTGTAATTTGTATCTGCTGACAATTAATTTTAGCCCTGATTTTAATAGATTTGTCTCTTAACTATTACACTAGAGAAAGGATTGCTTCACAGCACCATTCAATCCAGAATATTCTGAATATGACTCAATTATTACCATTGAGTTTCTTTTAAAATACCATTGAGTTTTGTATTTTCTTATATTACTAGTAGTTTTTTGATACATCTTAAAGAACTTGTTGTAATAATTCCTGTAAGGCAGGCCTTGTGGTGGTGAACTCCCTTAGCTTTTATATGTATGGGATAGTTTTTATTTCTACCTTATTTCTGAATGACAGCTTTGCCAAATAAAGGAAACTTGGTTGGCAGTCTTTTCCTTAAGCACTTCGAATATATCATCCCAGTCTTTCTTGGCCTTCAGGGTTTCTGCTGAGAAATCTGCTGATAGTGGTGCTGTGACTCCCTTGTGTGTGATATGCTTCTTATCTCTTGCTTTCAGAATTTTTAATTTGCTGTGATGTTTTATTTTTTATTGTTTTGTGGCTGGCCAGTATGGGGATCTGAACCCTTGACTTTGGTGTTATAACACCATACCCTAAACAACAGGCTAACTGGCCAGCCCAGCCTTTGATTTTTGAAAATTTGATTATTATGTGTTTTTGCAAACTCCTCTTTGGGTTGAATTGATTGGAGATATCTGTGCTTCCTGTACTGAATTATTTGCATATTTCCCCAGATTTGGCAAGTTTTTAGCTATTATTTCTTTAAATATGCTTTCTTGCTTGTTTTATCTCTCTTTACGTACTAGAACTCCTATTATCCAAATTTAGGTTTATTGATGCTCTTCCATAATTCTTGTAGGCTTTCTTCATTTTTTCCCATTTTTTTTTGCTCCTCTGATTGGATAATTTCACTTATTCTGTCTTTGAGCTCAATGATTCTTCTCGGTTGAGCCTGCTGTTAAGGCTTTGTGTTGCATTTTTCAGTGCAGTCATGGTATTCTTCATCTCTAGTATTTGTTTTTTTTAATTATTTTTATTACTTTGTCAAATTTCTTGTTTTGTTTGCCTATTGTTTTCCAAATTTCATTTAATTTTTTATCTGTATATTCTTGTAGTTCATGGAATTTCATTAAGAGGATTATTCTGAATTCTTTGTCATTTCATAGATCTCCATTTTTTCAGGGTCCATTTGGGAAATTTGTTAGTTTTTTATTTTGGAGGTGTCATGATTTTCTGAGTTTTTGTTATCCTTTGTCCTTGTGTTGGTGTCTGCACATTTGATGAGACAGACATTAACAGCTTTAACAGGTGTTCTTTAGAAGGGATAGGCCTTCACTATTTAGTTTAGCCTGCGACTCTGGATGGGACAGGTGGTAACAACCCCAGGCAGGAAGAGTTTGCTTGTGGGTTCTCTAGATTGTTGGACCACTGCCTGTACTCTGATTTCAAGTGTGGCTGCTGGCTGGGCTCCACTGTCAGATGAGACTTAACTAAGCTTTGCAATCAGGCAACTTACTGGCTGGGAACTATAATTGCTTCTGATTAGGCCAGGCCCCAGGGTGTATTCTCTGACCAGGTGGCACCACTATTTGAGATCTGCATATTAGACAGTGTTTCAGGCTGGGTCCTGAGGTTAGGTGGAGTTGCTGTTCGGCATGGATGAGACCAGCTGCTGTGCTTGGAAGAAATGCATGGTTGAGATTTGCCTTCCTGCCTAGGTGTGGGGCCTTGGAGTGGGCTTTGATGCTTGCTGAGCACTGTTTAAAGTCCCAGATATGGCAGAAATTGCCTCCGCACTTTGCTAAAATGCACTGATATGAGTGTCTCTCTTCTTGGGTTGGGCCTTGGAGTAGGCTTTCAGGTTAAGCTGAGTATTGTTTAAACTCCTGGGAGTGACAGAATTAGCTTGTGCTCTTTGCTGACTCATGCTGTGGTCGTCATGTCCCTCCCTGGGTGGGATCTTGGGGTGGACTTCTGAGGGTGGGCCTGGAAGCTAGCTGTCTAACTTCCTATCACTTCTGGGAGCATCTAGCTTGGCTTTACATGTGGGATATACTTCTGACTGATACCTCTGATTGGGCACCACTGCTGGCAGATACATAGAGCTACCACCAAGATCTGAATGCTGGTCACTGTGAGCTCTTTGTCCTTGTTTTGTTTCTACTTCACCCCAGTTGATTGAGTTGTGCTGTGACCCCTGTGTTTCCTGTGGGGTGAGACTGAAATGAGTTTTCTGGGAAGAGTTTTAGAATGCTAGGGAAGTTATATGTCTGCCTCAGGTTGTCTTTTACCACTGTAGAAATAGTGAGGCTTGGGGATTCATCTCTCTGTGATGCTGTGCTGACTTGGGCAAGGGTAAGGGGGTGATGCAGTTGAAGTAAGACCATTTCTCTTACCCTCTCATGGTTTTATTTGGTTCTGTGGTGTGTGTGCATGTCTCAGGCTGATTCCTGAGAGTTTGTATTTTCACAAAGATGTTCTTGTCTGTGAATAGTTGCTAGCTCAACTTTGTGTAGGAGTTAGTGAAGCCTGGGATCTCCTATTCTACCATCTGGCTGATGTCTTTTTTTTTAAATGGTGCTTATCTTTTCTTAATTATATCTGGGATAAATGGCCAATGATTATCGAGTTTAAAGTCCCTTTACTTTATCCTACCTTGATTCTCAGTTTGGCAGTTATTGTTAGGATAGCATCATCTGTACCTTCTTTCTGTCTGGGGTGGTTAGGATACTACACCACAGTGCCACTTTTATTTTTATAAAATTGAAAAAAGAAAAAAAGCCCAAATATTCTTCATTTTGCTTTTTTAACCTCTTATTACCTGTTTCCCCTATCATTAGATTCATTTTAGAAAAAAAATTATGATATTCGCTAGTCTTAATTGTTACAATAATTTGTATTTGTTTAAATTGTGTATTTGTATATATTTCTAACTTACAAGTCCTTTCATGTATTTTTGTTCATTTGATTATCACAATAACCTAAAGCATTTAGATTAGTAAATGTTATAATGTAATTTTTAGGTAGCTGTATTTCTGAATTTATTTTATTATCACATGTAACTAGTAATAATTTGCATTTGTGTTTTACTGAATAATTTTCAAAGTACCTCTATTAGTTAGTTAATTATTCAGTGATAAATGGTTAATCCTGTAGGGGAAGAAAAAAAACTTTTACTCTATTTTTTTTGGGTTCTGCAGCTGTGGTCTACTTATTAAATTGACAAAAGATAGATTAACAGGAGAGAAGGCTGATAAGCTGTATTTGATGTTAATATTTTAATTTTTATGTTCATGGAGGCCCTCATAGAAAAGAAGTGAAGAACCAAAAAGCTGTTAGACTTGAGGTCTTATATAATATTTTAACAAGGGGCAATAAATTGTGGAGAAGTGACAAGATAAGGGAAAAGGTGATTGGGCTTTTAGAGGCAGTTAATTGTAAGAAGGTAAATATATGGGGGAAACTAATGGAAGATAAGGGTTATTTTAGTAAGGTTGGTTTGTGCAGACCCATCTTGGTGCTGACCTTCTGTCTCCAGTAATAAGGGTTGTTCTCTTCCTGGTATGGGAGAGGGGAGGGGAAATATCTTCACAAAGGGAAATTTAGGTCTTGCTTTTAGGCAGATAGGGATAGGACAAAGAGTTCTCTGTGTTTGTTGCTTCCCAGTTGCCTTAAGCTCAAAATAATCCTCATGCCAATAAGTAGCATATTTGGGGGTAGCATATTCTGATCATCTTCTATCCAAAGTTGAAAAACAAAAACATTATCCATAATTCTATGACCATAACAACCACTAACATCTCTTAGCTCCTTTTAAACAAATAAGACAAACTTAAATTCTGTATAGCAGATATCTTATGGAAATGTGTTTTGATTTTGCAATTATGTGGTTTTGGATTATAGGTGAGAGTATCTTAGTTTGTAAGAACTCTGAGAAATCAAAAGGCATAGCTCTACTTCAGGGATCTCTAAAACCTGTTTGCAGCTGTCTGCAAAGACAAGAAGGAGAAGAAGTAACTGCCAGCATGGTACGAGCTATTCTGGAGGTAAGAGAGAGTTCACTAAATTACCATTCACTCTTTTATACCTGCTATGGTTTTAAAGTCCACCCAAGCTCACCCAAACTTAGATCCCAGTATGGTATTTGAAAGGTGGGGCCTTTAAGAGGTGATTGGACCATGATGGATATGCATTTATGAATGGATTAATCCATTTATGGATTAATAAATGAATGGTTATCACAAGAGTGGTACTAGGGGATTTATTAAGGGGAGCAAGTGAGCACGTTGGCACTTGCTATCCTCACTATGTGATAACCTTCATAGCCTAGAGACTCTGCAGAGGGTTCCCAAGAACAAGAAGGCCCTCACCAGACATACCCCCCAAACTTTGGACTTTCTAGCCTCCGAAACTATAAGAAATCTCTTTTCTTTATATGCTACCCACTTTCAGGTATTTTGTTATTAGCAATAGAAAACTGACTTATACAAGACCTGTATCACAGTAGTAGAACTTTAGTGTGGGAAAACCTTAACTTTGTATTTATTTGTAAGATTGTTACACTTATATAGCCTTCCCAAGCCTGAATCTATAGTTATTTCCTATACATATGTGAATATACGTAGTTTTGTGCTGGCATTTTATACAGCTAGTGCTATATCAGTCCATTTCAAAACAGTGATTTAAAACCAAATGCCAGATGGTTCTTTTTATTTTTTAGATTTTTAAAATTATTTTCTGAATTTAAAGAAAATGTGACAAAAATGGACCCTAGTTCTTCTATCCAGATAATACCTGTTGCCATTAAAATAATATCAGGTTACAAATACACATTATTAGAAGTTTCCCATAATACAGAAAAATCTAAAGTGAAAAATAAAACCTTCTTCTGCTCAAAGTCCTCAGAGGTAACCCCTGTTCAGTATGACACGTGTCTATTCAGAAAAGTTTTCTATGCATATACCAGCATGCCTTGGTCTTGAGTTCAGTAATAGTGTTGGTGATACCTATATGCGTGCTCTTTTTTGTTTTTCCCTTTTACTATCAGTTTGAAAAAAAAAAAACAAAATTTGATAACATAGGGTTGGTAAAGATGTAGAAAGTAGGTACTTTCATACACTGGTGAAACTCTTTCAGAGGGCAACTTGGCCATACCTACTAAAATAAAAAATGCGCACATCCATTTATCTAGCATTTTCGCACCTAGGAATTTTACCTAGGGATATATTTGTGAAATTACATCAAATCAAATTTATAAGAATGTTTATTATAGTACTATTAGTAATTAGAAAAAATTGGGAAAAACCAAAATACTGTTAATACTGAATAAATTATGGCAAAACCATGCTTTGTGGTCAGTAAAAGGAATGAGATAGCTCTGTTTATGATGATATGTGTCTAATATATGTATTATTCCCTTTCTGTTGCTTATAACAAAATACCTGGAACTGGGTGATTATAAGAAAAAAAAATTCATTGCTTACAATTTTTTTTTTTTCCCCTTTTTTTTTGTCTTTTTTTGTGTCTGGCAACGGATCGCAACCCTCAGTGTTGTGCCGGTACCGGACCGGGACCGGCAACGGGATCGCAACCCTCGGTGTTGCGCCCACACCTCGCTCAGCCAGTGAGCGGGAACCGGTCTGTATGTGGGATCCGAACCCTCAGCGGGAGCGCCACCATGCTCCCAAGCGGCGCACTGTAGCAGTGCGCCACCGGGCCGGCCCGTGCTTACAATTTCGGAAGCTAGAAAGTCCAAAGTCCCAGGAACGCATCTGGTGAGGGTCTTTTTGGTAGTGGCTTTATAGCAACACAGGGGTCTCACATGGCAGAAAATAGCAGAGCAGAGAGAGACTAACCTCTCATGTGTTCTCCTTTAAAAGCCTCAGAACCACGCCCCTGACCACCATTATTAATCTATTCAGTGCAGCATGGTCATACAATCTAGTCACCTCTATAAGGCCCCACCTTTCAATTACCATAATAGGATTTCTTACCCTCCACAGTTATAGTAGGGATTAAGTTTTGAGGGGGTATTTAACCCACGCCAATACATTAAGTAAAAGAAGGCAAGCGGCAAATTAAAATATGTAATGGAGTTGTGGGAAAATGATATACATAAGATACAACTGATTTCATCTTTTTCTGTACTTATTGCCATCCCTCTTCTGGGTGGGAAGTATTTAATAGGAGCATTCCACTAGGCCCATATATTTTAGGAGGATGGATGAAATAATTGATTTGGTTCATGGCCATGAGCTATCACTGCCTCTTTTATATATGTTGTTCCAAAATTTCAGATGGATAATGAGTCCTTTATTTTTTTTTTTACAAGAAGATATATCTACTTTTAAGAAAAACTTTTCATGTTGTTAGTAGGTGTTATATACATTTACAAATGTGATGATGGAATAGATAATAATCTCTATATTAAGATTCTGAGACTATTTCCAGAGAATAAAATCATTTCATTTCTTTTATGTCATGAGGGTCCTGCATGTCTTAATTAAAAAGTTACAGAAATTTTAAACTTCTTCTATCAGATAATAGTTGGTGGAGTGGCAAGTACATCACAAGATATGCAGACTTATGCTTCTTGCACATTTTTGGCTGCCAGTATGAAAGAAGGGAATCAGGGAATTCAGACAAATCAAGATTCTTTTCAACTTGGAGCAATCGAGGCCTGTGTGATGTGGCTGCTAGAAAATGAATTCATCCAGATTACGGAAGCCAGTGATGGAACAGAAGGTAAATATGACTTCTGAGTTGTAATTTACTCATGTTTTCATCTTTAGTGACTTAGAATGTGTAAGACTGCTTAGTAAAAGGAAGTTGACTTTTCAAGTAGTGTAAAAGGAAACTGATTTTTCAAGCAGTGTGTCAAGTGACTTACTCATTTTTAGTAAGTCACTGTTATGTTCAGCAACTTCGGACAATTAACATAGAGCCTGCTCATAAATTTCCATATGTTAGATATGAATGTTTGTAAAATTTGTCAGAGCCAAGAAGGTTAATTGTGGAATACAGAAAGACAGTGTTTTGTTTTATTATTGACATTTCCCCTATTTTCCCACCCCACCCCGAACCAGGAAAGGTGTACCATCCAACACATCTTGGTTCAGCTACTCTTTCTTCTTCACTTTCTCCAACTGATACCTTAGATATTTTTGCTGACCTCCAAAGAGCAATGAAAGGCTTTGTTTTAGAGAATGATCTTCATATTGTCTATCTGGTAAGTTCTGTTTTCCTAACTACTATGTTTGTGGAAACGGGGAGGAAAAAAATTTATAGAATCCTAAGCATCAAAGGTACGTTATGAGAACATCTTGTCTGTTTTCTTTGACGAGGTTAGTAGTCGTGGGAATAGGGAAGAAGAAATAAGAAAGATAATTGTTTCCAAGTAATAAGCTAAGTGTTCTAGTGACCTTGTTTTCTCCAATCTCCTTTCATAAAGGATTTGAAGTGGTTTATAAAAACTATGTATTTTACAGTATATAAGAGAACAGCAAAGGACAATGGGACATCAGCAAATTGAAGATAAGATGGTAGTGTAAAACTCAAGCAAAAGTTGGTACATAAACACATATGCCATTAAGTCATGTACAGTTGCTGTTGCCAACTTTAATTCTTAGTTTTCTAGCAACTAAAGCAAAGAGGGAAGCTTGATTAATCTCAATATTCAAAAGATGAAAAATAAAACATGTTAGGAAAAGCATTGTATTTCACTGCCTAAGAGAAATTTGGTCTTAGAAACTTGGGACTTATATTCTGATAAAAATTTCTTTCTTTCTTTTTTTTTTATTTTGTTGATATACAATGTGGTTGATTATTGTGGGCCATTACCGAAACCTCCCTTCCCCCTCCCTCTCCCCCCTCCCACCCAATTTTTATTCTGATAAAAATTTCTATAATCCAATAAGGAATTTTTAAAATTTGCTTTAGATAATCCTCTATGAATATTTTTCCTTATAAGAAAGATTTGATAAGAATTGAATAAAATAGAGTTTGAGGTCATATTCTCTGGCAGAAATAGAAACAGAAAATAGAGTTTGAGGTTATAGTCTGTGCCCAGAAATAATTTATTTTGTCAGTTAAGAGCAGATGGGGCTGGCTGGTTAGCTCAGTTGGTTAGTATGTGGTGCTGATAACACCAAGGTCCAGGGTTCAATTCCTGGCCAGTGCAAAAAAGAAAAAGTTAAAAGCAGATGAATACATTTTAATAAGCAAGTGTGTGTGGGGGGAGGTAAAAGTGAAATTCTCATTAAAATGAAGGCTTATCAGGAAATGTGTTTTAATAAAAATGCTGTATAGTGAACAGAGGAGAAGTATCTTGAAAATGCCAATTTTTTTTTTCTTACAAATGTATAATACATGAGTTATAATGGGCTCAAAGGTCTGTGCCCTAGAATGTGGCTGGGAAGAATCTCAAAGCAGTTCTTACCAGTCATCTATTGTGGCCCTAAAAAATAAGTCTCATTTGTAATACAGTGGCTAAGATTATGGGTTCTAGGGTCAGACTGCCTTAGTTCAACTTTTGGCCTCATCAGTTAATAATTATAAAACTTTGGTTAAGTATTTAACCTTTCCTAAGATTCTATTTTCCTTATGTGTAAAATGGAGATAATAATACTTAGGGCTAATAGCGTTTGATGAATATTTGATATCTTAGTAAATATTTAATAAATACTATATATTATATCTAGAAATTCTCCCATAAAAATTGTATAAGTCATTTGCCAGATTGCCTAAATACTCCTATTCCCTCTGTAAGACATAAACACTGGTGATGGGCGTTGGTATGCTGAATGCTTGTGGTGAGTGGTCTCATACACTTCTCTCACCACTTGAGTTGTATGCCCATTAATTGTCTTTGCTTCTAAACATGTTCATGCCAATTTATTTCCATGAAAATTAGGTCGAATGCAAGTTATTAAAAATATTTCTGATGAAATATGTGAGTGAGACAACTGTAAAAGTTCTGAGAAAAAGTTATAAAATCTAGATGGGAAAAAACCAGAAGGATACTGCTCACAGATTATTTTGCACTTATCTTTAATTTCCAATCTCACTTTACAAACTAGAAACTGCGTTTTTTTTTTTTTAGGCAGTATATTGTGGGTGTGGTTTAATTAAGAAAGCAGTGGTAAATTCTAATCAACAGATTTCACGCAAAAGGCCTTGACCCTAGCTCAAAATATTGGCAAGTAACTGTACATTTGTGTGTGTGTTTTTTTCCTTTTAAGATGACTGGTAAGGGGATCTTAACCCTTGACTTGGTGTTGTCAGCACCATGCTCTCCCAAGTGAGCTAACCAGCCATCCCTATATAGGGATCCAAACTCATCGCCTTGGTGCTATCAGCACCACACTCTTCCAAGTGAGCCACGGGCAGGCCTTACATTTGTGTTTTAAGTTAAATAAAACATTTAGAATTTGTTTGTACTATTTTATTTTTTGAATATGTAATACATTTATGTGATTCAAAAGTCACAGCTGTATAAAAAGGAACAGTCAGAAGTCTGACTCCTGTATCTATCTCCTGCATGCCTTTTCCACCTACCTTCATAAATAACTGTTTTCATTTGCTTTTGATGTATCCTTTCTCTTATTTTGTTTTACAAAGATTAGCAAGCACTTCTTGTATATTCTTACTTCACCTTCTTTCTTATACTAAGGATAGCATGCTATATGTATTATTCTCTATCTTCCTTTTTTTCCATTAACAATATATCTTGGAAATCACTTCGTATCAGTTCATCGACACTTTTTGTTCTTTTTTATAGCTGTATAACTCCATTGCATGGGTAGATAGATGTATCATTGTTTATTTACTAAGTTCCCTATTTGTGGACATTTAGATTGTTTCTGATATTTTGTTATGGCAAATGATGCTGCAGTAAATAACTTGGTGCATATAGTGTTTAGTTTTTATGGAGGTGTACTTTTAGGAAAGACTCCCAGAAGTGCTATTGCTGGGTAAAGTGTAAAGGTATAAGTGATTTTGGTTTTTCAAAATTGCCCTTCGTAGAGTTTGTATCATTTTAAAATTTTATCAGTGATATAAGAGAGTAGTTGTTTTTTCAGATCTTCACAAATAGAGTATATTGTCAAGCTTGTGTATTTGTGAGAGTAGTTTTAATTTACATTTTTTATATTATGAGTAAATTTGAACACTTTTTCCAACTGTTTGAGTGATTTACTTCTTTTTTTTTTTTTTATCTCAATCAATTGTCTATGTCTTTTGCTCATTTTTCTATTGTGTTTTTGGTCTTCTTAAATTTTAAATGTTCTTTACATATTAGGGAGATTACTACTTTGTGGTATAAGTTGAAAGTATTTTCTCTCTGGTTTTTCACTTGTCTTTTGACTTTGCTGATAGTGTTTTGTCTAAAATTTTAAAGAATGTAGTTGAATTTATGAACTTTTGATTCAGTGAGAAAGTCTTTTCTTGGTCTGAGATTATTAAGGAGTTCTCTCACATTTTCTTCAGTTGTATAGCTGTGGTTCCCCTATTTTGAGCTCTGCTTCATTTGGAGTTTATTCTGGTATATGGTTCTTCAATTTTATCTCTTTTTTTTCATAATGGCTATATGTACTCCCAGCATCATTTTTTAAAATGTTCCTTTACTCACAGTGACTCAAGAAGCCAACTTTTATGTACTAATTGCCCCTTGTATTTAGATATATTTCTAATTTCCATTTGTCATTGAATATATTTCTGTTTCATTTGTTGGTCTGACAATAGACCAATTTGATTGATTTGTGCACGAGTACCTCTGTTTAATTTTTTATTTTTGGTGGCTGAACAGTGTGGGATCCAAATCCTTGACCTTAGTGTTACCAGCACCATGCTCTAACCAAGTGAACTGAGCCAGCCCTTCTCTGTTTTAATTAAAAGCTTTTAAAATTTATCGTATGTTTTATCTGGTAGGGCTAGTTTTCCCTTGTTGCTCTCCTTTTTCAGTGTTTGCTGTGGGTTGATCGAATTGTGTCCCCCAAATTTGATATATTAGAAGCTTAATCCCCACTGTAACTGTTGAGGGTGGAAAATCCTTTTATGGTAATTGAAAGGTATTGCCTTGAAGAGGTGATTAGATTGTAGGACCATGCCGTACTGATCCTTTCTATCTTCTGGTACTCTCATTAGACATATGTTCGTGTACTCTCATTATACATATACTCTTAATGTTTACCACATTTCTCTGAGGCTCTGTTCATTTTTTCTCCCTTTTTCTCCCTCTTTCAGGTTACATAATCTCTATCAATCTGTCTTCATGTTTGCTGATTCTTTCTTACGTCAGCTTGGATATACGAGAGTACTTCAAAAAGTTCATGAACAGATTTGTATTATCTTTTAGTTCTATATCTCCATGAATTTTTTTTTTTTTTTTTGTCCTTTTTGAGACCGGCCGCACAGTGCTCAGCCAGTGAACGCTGTGAGCACACCGGTCATCCCTATATAGGATCCGAACCCGCGGCGGGGGCGCTGCTGCGCTCCCAGCACTGCTGTGCTCCCAGCACTGCACTCTCCCGAGTGCGCCACGGGCTCGGCCCTCTCCATGAACTTTTTGAAGTACCCTCATACTGTTATGCTCTCTAGTGAATTATTCATTTCACTATTGTATTTTTCAACTGCAGAATTTCCATTTGGCTCTTTTTTTTTTTGTACTTTACTCTTTATTCATATTCTCTACTTGATGAGACATTGTCATCAGGCTTTCCTTTTTTTTTTTTTTTTCCCTGAAAACAGATGAACTCAGGTTCCTTTATTTCTTTAAGAATGGTTTTGTTTTGTTCTTTGACCATATTTATAATGTTTGCTTATGCCAACATTTGTACTTTCTCAAAGGAGTTTCTTTTGTCTGCTTTTCCCCCTGTGCTTGGGAGACATTTTCCTGTTTCTTGTATGTCTCACAGTATTTTGTTGAATCCTGGACATTTTAGACAGTATATCAACTCTGAATATTGATTTCTCCCTTCCTCCTCTTCTCTTTCTATTTTACTGATTCTTTTTTGGAAATTATACAAAGTACTTATAATTGTACCTAAAGTCAGAATATTGAGATTAAGGGCCGGCCCGGTGGCGCACTGCTGCAGTGCGCCGCTTGGGAAGCGCGGCAGCGTTCCCGCCAAGGGTTCGGATCCCACATACAGACCGGCCGCTCACTGGCTGAGCGAGGAGCGGGGGCGACACCGAGGGTTGCGATCCCGTTGCTGGTCCCGGTCCGGTACGGGCGCGACACTGAGGGTTGCGATCCGTTGCCGGTCACGAAAAAAGACAAAAAGACAAAAAAAAAAAAAAAGAATATTGAGATTAAAAGTGTCTATGACTGAAGAGTCGAGTGTTATAAAATCCAGTTTGTATACTTAGTGGTCTCTTTCCTTTTGTACTGTCAGTAAGTTGTTTGTTAATAAATGATGTTTCCATGTAAATGAGGTATTATCACAGCAATTTTTCTAAATCCTGTGGTTTTTGTCTTTAATATGAAGTTTATATTTTATAATTTTGTTCCTTTTGTAATGTAATAGTTTTGGCTAATGAATGATGCTTCTGTCCTTTAGGTTACACCTATGTTTGAGGACTGGACGGTTATTGATTGGTATCGGTTTTTCTGTATATGGGAGAAGTTGCCAACTTCTATGAAAAGGGTGGCAGAGCTAGTAGGAGTTGAAGAAGGGTTCTTGGCTCGCTGTGTGAAAGGAAAAGTAGCAGCCAGAACGGAGAGACAGCACCGACAAATGGCCATCCATAAAAGGTAAAAATCAAGAAATCTGAACTCTTCCGAGTGTCTGGCATATAGTAGATGTCCAATTTCTTGTGGTCACTTTCATTATCAATAAAATAATAGTTTTGGCTGATTCTAGTAAAATTTTTCAGATTCCTATATTTACTGAATTTATAGATATGTTAGTTTCTTCCTATAGGTTATAGTTCAGCAACAGTTACATTTGAAGATCTTTTAAAGTACAATATTTAATTACTTCCCTTTCTTAAGAAGAATTGCCAACTTACTGTGGCTTCATTTGTGGTTATGCTTTGTATCATTCTTAGAAGTGATTCATTATCAGTATGGAAGATCTAATTAAACAATTCAGATGGGGAAATCATATAGGCTTTTAGCTTCTTTGAAATATAATAAAATTTTTTTTCTTAAAGCATTAGTCTCTAGTATATTGTTTATAATGTAGTCAAGTGTAAATTTTATAGGGATTTATATACTTGGATTATTTGTGCGACTGTTGCCTTTCAAATCAAAACTGGATTTTATAATCAGATTCCTTCATTTTATTGAAATCTGATTAGATAGTAATATCCTGGTGTACCAAGTCTTCTTTTAAATTTTTGTGACATCACATTTTTTAAAAATTATTATTTATTAGCATATTCTTTGTTACAAATCATACTTATTCTTTGTGCCCTTATCCGGTCTCCCCCCTTCCTCCTCCCTCCTCTAATAACCGTACATCTGTTCTCTTTATCTGATAGATTAACTGTTCCTCTGTTGGTTTGTTGGGAAGATCATTTGTCCACTACTGAGAGAAGTGTGATCAAGTCCTCCCTTATTATCATAAATCAGATGCTGCTTCTGTTACTCTGGAATCTGTTTTGTGGAGAGAGAGGACCTCTTCTTTTTATTTAATTTAATTTTTTGTTTTGTTTTTGGTCTCTGCTGGTGACTCTCCTTGTGTCAATGAAATTGAGAGTCTGGCATGCCATTTGCATGGTGGCTGTGACTGCTGCTATAGAGACTAGCCACTTTTGCATCAGTCATGGCAATTGTGGTGGCTATGGTAGGCCACCCATGTGAAAATGTGTGCTTTTTACCTAGTTGCGGCGGCTGGGTTTGGCTTCTCCTGGCTCCATGCCTCAGACCCTAGTGGGGCCCGGGGCGGTGGCAGCAGCTTGCCTAGTTGTGGCTGTGTTCGGCTTCCACTGTGTCTTGTCACATCTCTTGAACCAAGTGTTGTTTTTTAAAATTAATTAGCCTATTGAAATACGGGGGCTTTTTTTGATATATAGACATTAGTTCTTTGCTATAGTACTAATGCATGTCAAAACTTGCTTTGCAAGTGTCGGTCTCAGTCTTTGTCCACCAACTCTATTTCCAATTAGCAATCTTCCAGGTTGTGTAAATCCTCTGTTGCCTTTTTGGTTCTTAGTTGTATTGCAAAACACATTGTACTTTCATAGTAGACATAAATGATCACTTACCATACTTTTGGTGATTTACTTTTAGGTTTTTCACCAGTCTTGTGCTATTAGATTTAATCAGTGAAGTTCCCTTAAAGGAAATTAATCAGAAGTATGGATGCAACCGTGGACAGATTCAATCTTTGCAACAGTCAGCTGCTATTTATGCAGGTCAGTTAAACAAAGGGTTTCACATTTATTTAAAACTCTGTGATTTGAGGTCAAGTTAAAATTTTTTTTTTTCCAAATTCCATTTTATTGTAGGCCTTTCTAAAATTTCGTGTAGTCCCTGTCATCAGAAAATCTGAAACTATGGCTTCTCTGGGCTCAGCACCCTGCGACAGAGGACTGGCAACTAGGTCAGAGTATGGACCTTATTTCCCTTCCATTCCTTAGCAACCTGCTAACTAACTGTTCCTCTTTCTTTTTTTTTTCTTTTTTTCTGTTTTAAGAAGAAACAAAGTTCTCAGTGGTTTCCCTTTTCTCATCAAGATATTGATTAATAAATGTTAAGGTGGAGAATGGCAGATGGAGAGGGATTTCTGGACTCCTGAGTCTTCTAAATATTATCTCTTCTAAGGAAGTACTGGCCTGCCTTAATATATTAAACCCATATCTTCTAAGCTTAGGGAAATGGAAATTCAGGGTTTAATTTTACTAAGGAATCCTTACAAGCCCTCAGGAAGGAAAGCCTGAGCTACTAGAGGGGGTGTGTATTTATATGCCTAAGAGGCTTCATTGTGTGGGTGTGTGCATATGAGGATGTGTTGAGGGGAGTTGGTGGTAAGAAGGGAGGTCACTCTTCAACTTACTGGCATCAAAGATCTAAGATTGCCTGTAGGGTTAATGTTCTCAGAGGAAGTGACTTTCTTTTTCTTTTTTTTTTTAAAGATGACCGGTAAGGGGATCCTAACCCTTGACTTGGTGTTGTCAGCACCATGCTCACCCAGTGAGCTAACTGGCCATCCCTATATGGGATCCGAACCTGTGGCCTTGGTGTTATCAACACTGCACTCTCCCGAGTGAGCCACAGGCCGGCCCTGGAAGTGACTTTCTTAATGATTTTTGACACTTGGTTGCTCTGGTCTCTTTATTTCAGGAGGGTATAGCTACTGAGCTGGGTAACCTTTTTTTGAAGAAAATAAGAGTAGGAACTTCATTCCTTGTAGTCCTCTCAGCACTTGAATATTTAAATCAGCTCTGTTGTTTTCCTCTAGGTGGAAAGAGTCCCTCACCTGTTTTTAAGAGTTCTTTCTTCCTTAAAACAAGAAAGGAAAGGGCTGGCCCATGGCTCACTTGGGATCCCTATATAGGGATGGCCAGTTAGCTCACTTGGGAGAGTGTGGTGCTGACAACACCAAGTCAAGGGTTAAGATCCCCTTTTGGGGAGAGAGGGAGAGAGAGAGAGAGAGAGAGAGAGGAATGAACTAGGATGGGGACTTTCTGCTTCTTTTGTGTTGATGTGCTCTACCTCAGTTTTCAAATGTTGAATTTAGAATTAAGAATAAATGAGATGACATTTAATGTGTTTATTAGCACATTCATTGTCCAGTTAGCTAGGCCCTTAATATATATCTGCTCTCCTGTTAACTTACACCTTTTTTTTTTTTTTTTAAAAGATGACCGGTAAGGGGATCTTAACCCTAGACTTGGTGTTGTCAGCACCACGCTCAGCCAGTGAGCGAACCGGCCATCCCTATATGGGATCCGAACCCGTGGCCTTGGTGTTATCAACACTGCACTCTCCCGAGTGAGCCACAGGCCGGCCCTTTTTTTTTTGTCTTTTTTTTGTGACTGGTAAGGGGATCGCAACCCTTGGCTTGGTGTCGCCCGCACCGCGCTCAACCAGTGAGCGCACTGGCCATCCCTATATAGGATCCGAACCCGCGGTGGGAGCGCTGCTGTGCACCCAAGTGCCGCACTGTCCCAAGTGCGCCACGGGGCCGGCCCAACTTACACCTTGACCCTTGTTAAACGTTACAGTTCTGCAGGAAAACAGAGTACGTCTAAAGAAATGGAGAATTGGTCTATAGGGAATTTTTAATTCAACAAATATTTTATAAATGTTCTAGGGATGGTTACAGTATTTTCCAACCGCCTGGGCTGGCACAACATGGAACTACTACTTTCCCAATTTCAGAAGCGTCTTACATTTGGTATCCAGAGGGAGCTGTGTGACCTGGTCCGGGTATCCATACTTAATGCACAGCGAGCCAGGTTCCTCTATGCTTCTGGCTTTCTTACTGTGGCAGATCTTGCTAGAGCAAGTATTGCTGAGGTGGAGGTGGTTCTGAAAAATGCTGTTCCTTTCAAAAGGTAAGAAAGTCCTTCTGTAAAGGGTTATTAAATGAAAAATTGTCAGTTTTTTAAAAGTTACTGTATTAAAATATTTTCTTCTCAGATAATCTCATGACATACTTGGTATAAGAGGAAGACAGTGTGGCTACTTTTGCGCCATTGAGGATTAATTTTTATTTTGTATATTTTTAAAATATTGCATGACTTAAGACATTTCTGAGACTGTCATAATTCTCTCCTAGAAAGATTGAGTGAAAATATGGTACCTATACTTTCTGCTATGCTGTATTTTGATTTTTATTATATATCCAGGGCTCATTTTGAATTTTCTTTAGGCAAGAACAATTTAATTTTTTTTTCTTTAAATTTTATTTTGTCGATATACAATGTGGTTGATTATTGTGGCCCATTACTAAAACTTCCCTCCCTCTTCCCTCTCCCTCCCTCTCTCCCTCCCTCCCAATAATGTCCTTTCTGTATGCTTGTGGTGTCAACTTCAAGCAATTGTAGTTGTTATGTCTTCTCCCCCCGGTATTTTTTTTTTGTGTGTGTGTCTGTGTGTGTGAATTTATTTATTTATTTTTATCTCCCACCAATAAGTGAGAACATGTGGTATTTCTCTTTCTGTGCCTGACTCGTTTCACTTAATATAATTCTCTCAAGGTCCATCCATGTTGTTGCAAATGGCAGTATTTCATTCTTTTTTATAGCAGAGTAGTATTCCATTGTGTACTGCAATTGTTTGAGGAACCTCCATACCATTTTCCGTAGAGGCTGCACCATTTTGCAGTCCAACCAGCAATATATGAGAGTTCCTTTTTCTCTGCAACCTCACCAGCATTTATCGTTCAGAGTCTTTTGGATTTTAGCCATTCTAATGGGGGTGAGATGGTATCTCAGTGTAGTTT